ATTTATTCATTCATAATAATTATTACAATAAAAGGATTTTGATAAATGTTTTACATCTATCACAAAAGAAAATGAATAATATTTCGTTTACAAGGAATTATACAATTAATGTACACCCATATTTCCCGCCGATTGAAAAACATAAACAAAGATCAACAAAAGAAAAAAAACATCAAATAATTTGAAAAAATGAGTGTTGTATTCGTGATTCTGTTTGTCTGTATGACAGTAACAAAGTCAGCTACTGGCACGTTGATGAATCAGCATGTATGTAGCTATGAAAAGAACACACTTTCCTGCAGATACGTAGGAGATGATTTGTACAGAACAGACAGGATGAAAGCAGTGATGAGGAATTACATGAAGGAAATAAAGACCAACCAATTTGGTCGTGTGGAATATGCTCGAAACAATACAAGAACATAAAAAACATTAAAACAACATATGCAAAGTCATATGAGAAAAAGAAAATGTGAATTATGTGATAAATCGTACGTTTATCTAAAAGATCTACGTATGCATCAATATAAAATTCATGGAATACACAATGAACGGAAACTGTGTAAAACAAAACAAAACTCATCGTCCTTTGCATGCCAGCAGTGCAACAAAAGTTTTGGTACATACTGCAACGATGCATGGATGTGTTACTCCGAGACAAGGTAGAGTACAATTTTCGTGTATATTGAGATAGTGATTTCCAAGAGTACGAACAACTGTTTGTACATATTACGGAAAATCATCCTTTAAATCAGTTAGGTGGTAGACAGGACTCCATCTTCCCTTGCTACAGCCGAACAGAATCACATTCCAATTCAAAGAAACGATACCACGTGGAATGACAAACAAGGTAAACAAAAGCAGCAAGATGAAAACCAGATCAGACAAGAGCAGCGAGATGTAGAACAACATCAACAGCAAAATGCTGATGTATTAGATAATTCTCCACCCAATACACATGAAACTGCCTTAAACAATGCAGTGTTCAATAGAAATATCTTTCCAAGAGGAAGCGAACGTTACGTCACGCTTACCTTTTTTGGTAACATTAGAGATCAAGTAAGGTCTTTTTTACAATTTCGTACTCGTTCATTAAGAGGAATAAAATGGAATCTCTGCGTGCAAGTAGAGATGCAACGCGATGATGGTGAAGATTCATTATTTACAAGACCGTACTTCAGAAGCAGAGCTTACATAGCCTTATCTTTAGATGATACCATCGAGCATGATTTAAATGAGGCTATGCAGAAAATGTATGCTAGTTTAGAAAAATACATGCGCGAAGGTTCAGGATGGTACATGAAAAGGGTGTTGAAGTTTGAAATTCATACTGTGATTTATAAGCCTTTGTCTGGATCCATGTACATGTCATTACCAAAGTCTCTGACATTGAGTAACAGTTTGCTAAATATACAAAACTCAGATGATAGATGTTTTTCATACTGTTTGTTGGCATCCTTACATCCGAAAGAAAAAGAACCTGAATGTGTAGGACATTAGTATCAGTATGAAAACGAAATTGACATGTCCGGCATCATTTATCCAGTTGCATTAACGCAAGTTCCAAAAGTAGAAAATCAAAATCAAGAGATATCCATTAATGTTTTTACTTATGAAGACAAAACAACTGTACCATTGAGTATCACGAAACATCGCAACCGTCTATATCATATCAATCTACTTTGGTTGACCGATGGCGAAAATTCACATTACTACTTGATAACAAACTTGAACCGCTTTTTGTCTCGCACAAAAACGCATTGTTCAAAAATGTATTTCTGTCCTTATTGCCTACATGGATTTTGTAAAGAGACTGCGTTGACAGAACATCAACCGAATTGTTCGACACGTGGAGCACAACGAGTAGAGCTTCCCATACCTGGCAAGAATGACAGACTACAATTTAAAGAATACGAAAAGACGTTGAAAGTACCATTCGTTATTTATGCCGATTTCAAAACCATCAAACTGCACACGTGCATGCCCAATCCCGAGCTCTCCTCTACGTTTGCTACAACACAACTCGATGTATGCGGTTTCGGTTATAAAGTCGTCTTTGAAGACGATCGATATACAAAACCTACCGTTTGTATATAGAGGTCAAGATGCCGGTGAGAAGTTAGTCGAATTTTTATTAGAAGAGCAAGAACAAGTTCGAGAAATTCTTTTCACGATGATCTCTTAGCAAATGCTTCTCACTGCTATCTATGCATGCAGAAGAATATAACTTATCGAAAAAACCGCGTCGACTGTTCGTAGGAGGAATGTCAGCAGAAAGGATCATGATATTCTCACCTTTGCTTAAATGGTATATCAAACAAGGTTTATTATTCAAAGTATATATCAAGTAATAGAATATAATAAAATTAAATGTTTCAAAGAATATGGAGAACAAGTAACTAATGCTCGCAGGGAAGGTGATAAAAAACAATCTTTGAATATAATGACAATGTTAATGAAATTAATAGGTAACTCCGCGTTTGGTGAAAACAATTATGAACAAAGAAACACATCGTAGAGTCAAATATATGAAAGGATTCCGTAAATCATGTTTAGCTGTTAATAATCCAAGATTTGTTAAATAAATCTAATCTAATGAAATAGATGAGGAATATTTTGAAACTGAGTTTTTAAAACATCGAATTACCATCGATAATCCTATATAATTAGGAATAAGTATATTAAATTACGCTAAACTTCATATGTTTAAATCTTATTATGATTTCATGAATAACTATATTGATAGAGATCGTTTTGAATACATTGAAGTTGATACGGATAGTGCATATTTAGCACATTCTGGGAATAGTCTTCAGGAAGTAATAAAGCCTAAAATAAAAGAGAATTTCAAAGAAATTTGTTTGATAATTGTAATGATAATTTTATTGTAGATGTAGGGGATAATGATGTATGGTTTGCTCGCGAATGCTGTGAAAAAACATTCAAAATATGAAAGTAGAGAGATGGGATTAATGAAAATAGAATTTGAAGCAAAATCCAATTGTTGACGACGAAAGACGCACAACGCACGACGATGGACGCCGGACATAGCCCCATCACTATACCTCACCTTGACCACTTCGTGGTCAGGTGAGCTAAAAAGTATCAGAGGAGTTAATAAGTGTTAATGAGAAAAAGATAGAAAAACAAAAAAAGAAAGACAAATCATTTTAAATATGTAATTAACGAATTGCATGATGAAGTTGGTACACTACAGAATAAAATCAGACGACTTGATTTCAAATTCAAATACCAAAGTGTAACAGTGATAATGATATTAATACAAACACAGAGGAAGAAAACACTGACTAAAAAATAAAATGTAAGTATCTTTATAAACAAACTTTGAGGTAGAATATTACCAAATAATCTAACATAAAGTATATATCATCAAATATCAAATCAAATATTATGACAACTGTTCTTTAGTACATGATTTGCTTAGGAAACCAACTAAATAATTAAAATGTCAGTATTTTCATAAACAAACTATGAGGTAGAATATTACCAAATAATCTTACATAAAGTATTTATCATCAAATATCAAAACAAATATTATGATAACTGTTCTTTAGTTTGCTATCCCTATGAATGGATTTACAGCAAGAGTATCCACAACATAATCTACACTGTTTCACCCGGATCCATGCTGACTATAATTACCTTCATTACCCTTTTTCTATACTTCTTTAAGGAAGAAGATAACGTTGAAAAAAATGAAAAAATGTGTATATCAGACTGCTTATCATCAGACCAGAAGAAATATATTCCTCTTTGTCAGTAATTGTGAACCACTTTGGAACCTCAATATATACTATAATAAAATAAAAGATTGCATTTGAGAAAAATATGCCACCGCATGGTCCAAATTTCATAGCTGTGCATCAAAGGACAAGAAAGTAGGTCACATCATCAAAATCTAGGTCAAAGTTCAATTTTACAACTAAAACTGTGCACATGGTCAAAATTTCATTGCTGTACATCAAAGGACAAGAGAGTAGGTCACTGTCTCCTTGGGCAAGGCATAATTTTGACCCAAGGGTTAAATAATAATCTTGATACAGGTCCGCCAATCAACATTTCAAGTCAAAGATCTAAGCTATAGCTTTCTCCCATTCAGAAAACATTTGTTTTATTTTCTGTTTTAATATGTGTACATAATGAGAATCACTGCCCCCGAACAGTGCAAATTGTTGACATTTGAACAACTTTGGTAGAGGACCTATAGATGATATTATATATCAAATATCAAAGCTCTATGCCTTGAACCTTCAGATAAATTTTTTTTTCACTATATGTACATAATGAAAATCAATGACCCCCGGGGCAGAACCAATTTTGACCCCAGGGCTATAATTTGAACAATCTTGCTAGAGGTTCACTACACAATGTTTCATGCAAAATATCTTAACTCTATCCTTTGTAAATTTAGAGAAGATGATTTTTTAAGTTTTAACATATAAGATAAACCTATGGCTCCCAGGGGCGGGGCTAATTTTGACACAAGAGGCAAAATTTGAACAACTTTGGTAGAGTACCTTTAGATGATATTATTTATCAAATATTAAAGCTCTAAGCCTTTTACCTTCAGACAATAAGATTTTTTTATTTTGATAGTGATTGGTTGTTTTAGTAAGTTACTAATTAGCAACATACATATTCATTGATGATTATTTTTTTCAATGAGTAGTCATTGATATTGATTGGTCATAGCTTTTTTTTGCACTTACATGTAAAAATATAAATGAACACATAGCTTCCTCCTCTCCCTCACATCTTTAATAAAGCGATACCAAGTTTCTTATTTACAGATTTTATTTTTCCTTTTAAAATAAAATGGCATCTGGCTTTGAAGAAATCTATGGGAAAGATGGTCTTATTTCTAAAGTTCGTGCCAACTTTGGTAAAAGTAAAGAGGTGTGCATGAATGCGTTTAATGGTAAAACGTATATCCATATAACCGATAAAAGTAAATGTTTTGTAAATGGGAAATTTGATCTGTCTAAAAGTAAAAGTGTTACTCTAAGTTATGAGGAAAGTCTTCAACTTAAGGGATTAATTGAGATTGGTGGAGTCTATGATGTTACCTTTCATCAACAGGGGGTAAGTCAAATTTATATTTTTGATTTATGTCAATCGTGGAATTGTTATCGTCCTATTTCTCCTGTTTCTTATTATGTATTTATTTTGTTTAATCAAATACTTATTCACCCCAACAGCAGCAACAACAACAACAGCAGCAGCAATATAACACTGAAAGACATTCACAGCAGCAGCAATATCAACAACAATTCCCACAACAGACACCGTATCAAAATCAGCAAACATGGACCTATGTTGGACAACAACAACAACAGGCTAATCCGCAAGTATGGGACGATACTGCTGTTTTTTTTTTGAACATGTAATTTTGTTTTAAATTGAACATGTATATTCGCAGCGAAGTCTTTAAATACATTACAAATATATTATGCATGTAATAAGGAGTAATTGATATATTTTCAGTTAATTGCCATCCCACTAAACCCTGAAGGTATGTATTATGTTTAGTCAAGTATACAATGTTACACTGACCAATAATACAATAAAAATTAGATATTTGACAAGTTAGCACGCCCTGCTCTTTAAGTGACCAATCCAGGACTAGATACTATGACTTTGTAAAAGTTTATAAAGTAAAGTTAATCGTGATTTTTACACTAGCTATTTAAAAATGTCTTGCAGGAAAGCAAATTGCATCGCCTTCACAGGATATATATGTGAAAAAGAAAATTATAATGGTGGGGATTACACTACTCACCTTGAGGAATGTCTGATACAATTCAATAACTGACGTATAGAGATGAGGAGGATCTATCTCTCCTTCTTTATGATTTATAAACAAAATGTATATAATCAACCAATTTTTTGTATTTGTGGGAAAAGTCCCCATGACACGGAGAAATATGTTGAAATGTGACAAATTACTTTTGGAATAGACTAAAAGGTAAAATTTTTTGATATATATTAATATTTTATAGCTTTAGCAACGGGAGAAATTGACAAAAGCAGACAAGCTGCTATAATGCCTCCACCCGCAAAAAGACCATACGTTTGGGTATGTTTCCTTATTTGATAATCACAAATTTTACACACCTTTTAGTTCATTGTTCATTGTATTGAAATCAACACTAGTTTGATGCAAATATAATATAAATCGTTTTATCAGGTATTTTCCTGATTATTTATTTATTTTTTTTTTTCCTAGGATGATGATGCTGACTTTCAGTAATTGGTATGTTTCTTTTTTCTTAAAATTTAATATTTAAAACAATGGATTGTTATAGTCACTTCAAATTAAAAGTTTTTTTAATTACCAATTCTTTCTCTTTTTCAGGACCAGGATGATTCCTCACCCCAAGATTGAAATCTTTACTTCTATAGTACTGTTGTGTAAAAGTAGGTTATAGTTTATTTCGATACACGATGTGTGAAGTAGAAAACGAACATTTTGTGTTTTCTTCGGAAAAGAATCTGTGTTTAGCCAATTTCATAATGTAGAATTTATAGATGAAAATGATGTACACTACAATTCATGTGAGCAATATATGCACTTTCAGAAAGCGGGTAACTGTTACACTTATAAGATTAGTTTTAAAAAATTATTTTCTAAAACATTGTCACGCAAATATGTTTATTTATCTTTATTTAATGTAGCCGTTTCATACTAATAAATTTTTTAGCAACTTCATGGTGGGGTTCGGTTAACCCTTAACCCTAAATATTGCGTTTAAATAAAAGAAGGGTTTTTTGTCACTCCTGTTTGTATTATCGAGCGGTGTTTCGAAATTAAATACTATGAACTTAACTTTTTTTAAAAAAAAAATTCTTTTCAGAGTTATTCAAAGATTACGACACAGCAAGGAAAATTATACAAAGCACAAACCCCTTTCATCAAAAACAATTAGGTAGAGAAGTGAAACAATTTAATGAAATAATTTGGAGAAATGAAAGAGAAAATATTGAGTTCAAAGGAAACGTACTTAAATTTCAGCAAAATGACGATTTAAAGAAAAGATTAATTCATACATCTCCTAAACTTTTAGTAGAAGCAAACCCGCATGACTGTATATGGGGAATTGGATTAAGTCGATTTTTAATCAGCATGTATTCAATCCTTCTAAATGGAAAGGAGAAAATTTGCTGGGAAAAATACTTATTAAAGTAAGAAAATTAATTTTGAAGGAAGACGGAGAACAAAACCACACGGTACGTATAAATTTAATGATGATGATAACGGAAAAGGTACAAAGACAACTTTTTTTCTTTTTTTTTTTTTGCGTTTTACAAATTGCTTAAAGGAAAAGTTGTTTCGTAATAAAGAAAAGTTTATCGGTTATATCGAGACAAGGTAGATCTTATTGGCGCAAAGATAATTACCCCCCTACAGAACTAGAACCAGTTGGTTATGTTACAATATCGCAACTTTGCAGGAATATTATTCTCGCTTTTAAAAAAAAATGATAAAGAAATCGCATAGATCGCAAAATAAACGGATTAAATTTTACAAAAAGTATCTTTTTAACATCACAGGATTTAAAGTAATGAGCGTTTCTTCAGTATAAAATCCCTTGCAGTCGATAACCGAGGTCAGTAGTCGATAAAAAATTGTGATAGAAAAAAAATTTAATCATAAAAAAAGTTAACACAGATCGTTTAGGAAAAAGAGAACTGAAAAAAAGGTAAAGGTAAATAATTTTTAACATAAAATAAAAGGACGATATTTTAGAGTTCTGCTTTTGTTATTGTTGTCTTTTTATTATTTCTATTTTATTTTTGTTTTGTTGCTAAGAAACGATAATTAACATACTTTATGTGTTTGAATATAATATTATAAAAAAAAATGAAAATTGACATGTTATTCGATTACAGATGTTCGAAAAACGAAAAGGTAGCGGCAGTAGTAAGGGTAAGGGAAAGAGGAGTAAGACGGAAGATGATATAACACCGACACATAGAAGTAAAGTCGAGGTAAATACTTTACACACGCATATATTCGTATTTTACGACAAAAGGAAAAAAAATATTTTGTAGAATAGTACATATTTTTATTATTTTGTTTTAATGCACGGTAATAATGTTTATTATATTATTATTATTAATATTATATTTAAATTGACAAAGCTAAATAACTTTTATACATTGTTCAATTGTAGACGAATGAAAAACCACAGACGAGTTACAGCGAAGGACAGAAGAGTAACATGCAAGAAAGTCAACCAGCGGCGGATAGGAATAGAGATGAGGTAATTGCATCACAATAGATTTTATTACGATAAAAGTAAAATCATTTTCCATATATCGTTCTTTAAATATATTAAACATATTTTTATTGTATGCTTTAATATGTAACAATATTGTTATAAATAAATAAAAACAACCAACAAATTAATATCTATAAACTTTTCATTTACAGACGGATGAAAAAAACGAAAACATTAACGTATTGATAAGGGCAAAACCCCTGAAATTGAAGGATGATCATACGCGACACGGAAGTCGATCACCAACTTAGAGTAAAACTCATATATGATCACGTTTTACTTAAAATGATGACCATCGTGTCTATAAAAACATCAGAAAAAGAAACTGTAATTGCTTTGACGGAAGAGGAGGTGGAGGGAACTATTTCAAAGCTACCTTTGACTATCGCTGTAGCCGAGAAATACTCGGCTAGTAGAATTTCGAAGGGGGTTGACATTCCATTCGACTTGATAGACGATAAACAGCTTAATGCTGTTTTATTCGTAAAAGAGAACACATACGGCAAACAGACAATATGTGTGGACGTAAGAAAATGTTACAAAAAAAATGATGGATCTTACATTTACACCAGAAACGGGGTAAGAATTTCTCCTCATCAAGCTAGCTTGCTTGAGCAGGAGTTAAAAAAATATCGCGATAAAGCCCTGGAAAAAATCGACGAAAGCATACACGCCGTACAAACTGTCCAATGCTTTTCCATTATACGGGAATTAAGCGAACTTCACTTTATTACTTCACTGAATTGTGAAGGGTGCAGTATTAAACACCCTAGCCAGAAACAACCCGTTGGGGAAGGAGGGTGTCTGCTTGATTGGGATGGCATCGTGGACAAATACTGGACAGCAGCGTTCGGTTTACTGAACGCTGCAAATATTGTTAAACAAGCAATTATCATAGTATTGCAAGCAATCCATAAGTCCCCTACCGGTAAGAGCCCAAGCAACATTCTGAAGGGCCATTGGCCATTCACTTATGTTCCTATTTTAAGTAAATTTGTTAAAAAAGTTATTTAAAAGTAATCACAGGAAACAGTTTTTATGTACAGACAGACAGACTGAAGGACACTCTAAAGTTATTTTTTAAACATCCCTGTTATCAAAATATAACATTTTTAAAATCCTATCATGATTGAAGAAGTTGGAGTAAAAATTACCAATTTCTCAAAAAAAAAAGTCTAAGTTCAAAAGGGGCATAATTCTGGAAATAGTCTTGCTAGAGTATTGAACACTCACAAATGTTGAGTGATAATAAGAAACATTTATATGAAGTTTGAAGTAGATACATTAAAAAAAAGAAGTTATTAAAAAAAACAATGTTTTTTTTCATGAAAATTTTAAGTTCAAGGGAGGTAATTCTGATAAATTTTGTGCTAGAGTTGTAAACCTTGTCACATATGATGTGGTTGATGACAAGCAACTTATATTTAAAGTTTGAAGAAAATACCTTAAGAAATAAATAACTTATAGTGAAAAAACTTAAAAACTAGAATCAGAAATCTTAAAATTCAGTCTATTTGTTGCCATAGCAACCAGAATTTTCAACATAGGAAGATAAGAAAAGGATGTGCATAATTTCCATACTGCCATCTACCCATATGTCAAGTTTCATAAACATATTTTCAGTACTTTTTGTGTTATCACTGGATCCAGGTTATGTGTAAAATTTGCCATATTTTCAGTCTATTTGTTGCCATAGCAACCAGAATTTTCAACTTAGGAAGAAAAGAAAAAGATGTGCATAATCTCCATACTGCCATCTATCCATATATCAAGTTTCATAAAAATATTTTCAGTACTTTTTGCGTTATCACGGGATCCAGGTTATGTGTAAAATTTGCCATATTTTCAGTCTATTTGTTGCCATAGCAACCAGAATTTTCAACATAGGAAGAAAAGAAAAAGACGTGCATAATCTCCATACTGCCATCTATCCATATATCAAGTTTCATTAAAATATTTTCAGTACTTTTTGCGTTATCGCGGGATCCAGTTTTGTGGACGGACGGACTGACGGACGGACAGACGGACGGACAGACAGACAGACGGACAGACGGACGGAGGGTAAACCTAAAGTCCCCTCCGGTAAACCGGTAGGGGACTAACAAGCAGATGATATTTTAGAGGATGGTGTTATATCATCCACGACAAATGAATGTGTCTTGCTGGAACAAAATCAGCTGCGGGAAAGGGTTAAGAATAAGTAGTATGGTAATTGGGCGAGTCTAGCGCACCCCCCACCCTAAAAAAAAAAATTCCAGTTATACCCACTTTTTTATAACCTCCTTTTTTCTAAAGATTTTCTTCTCCACCACCCTAAAAAAAATTTTTATCCCCGGCGGGACTCGAACCCGCGACCCTAAAAAAATAAATCTGTGGTATGACAAATAGGAAATTATATAAAACGAAAATTTACTGATGTAAAATTCACATTGACAAGCCAAGCGTATTGTGTAGTAATGCGTGGATATTTGTGGTTTTACATTGAAAACCGGTTGGTAAAGGGTGCGGTCTTTCATTTCAAATTATCAGTGTGAGAAGACGTTTTTACCTTGCCTCTTGTTAACAGCATTCATTACAACAACACGTTAAATTAACTTCTAAAAAAGGCAAATCAAAGGGCTAAACCATGTAAGTACTGCATTTTATTTAATATTTTGTGTTCTATATTGTTAATGGAGAGAAGTTTTATAGATACAATATAACCAATATTCCTTCGACCTAGAAAGCATGTAATAATCTATAATCGCTATAATCTATATCTATAATCTATGATATTCTTATTTTCAGGGATAAGGAAACATTCAAAATCTTTCAAGAAGACTTCAATGGGTTTGTGACATGGCTACAGCAGACATTCCCAGAAAATGAAGAACTTTCATAATGTCTCAGGATACAGTGGATTTTAGTTCTTTAGAACGTGAAATATGTGATTTTACAGATATGGAACAGCAACAAGAACAACAATGGACTTCTACCGAAAAACAATTGATTAATGAGCATAGAATATTCCATCAAAATATGGGGTCGTTGATTGATACAATTGAATCATACAACCACAGTGACTATTTGTCAATGCTATATTTAGAAACGGTTATGCATAACCGGGACTATTTGTCAATGCTATATTTAGAAACGGTTATGCATAACCGGTGTACTTCCAAGTGACTATTTTTCAATGCTATATTTAGAAACGGTTATGCATAACCGGGTGTATTTAAAGTTTGTATTTAAATGCGTTTTAAAAGTTTGTGTATGTATTTATATTTTACTCATTGTTAA